TATCAATATCTTCATTATTTCTGGTAAATGAAAATGTTATCAAAGATAATGAATAAACATGAGTAATAGCAAATTAATGAAACTTCCATGTAATGTATTATCTAATGCGGCGTTTTACTGCAGAATAAATAGTTACCTTTGGTTTATCAAAATAGAAATAATAATAATTCGCATTTTTATTTGTAAATGAAATAATAATAATTATTATTATTATAATAATAATTATTATTATTATAATAATAATTATTATTATTATATGAATCTTTTTGGAATCCAACAACATAAATATTTATATCTATGAATAATCAGGAATCTTCCAAGAATGGGAACCATAATCAACAAATTAATTCTCGGAATGAGTATTTTTGGACCAATGAAAAAATGTCATTTAATTCTGTGTTATAATTATTATAATATCTTTTGTCTAAATTATTTTCTATTTATTTTTATTACTTTTATTTATTTACTTTTTTCATTCATTTCATTATTTCCTTTTGTTTTATTTTATTTTATTTATAGTGCTACATCCTGATGTTGTTTTTATCTTCGTTTCATATTATTTTTTGATCTAAAAAAAAGATGGATTTTGGAGATTTTATTAAGCGGGGCAAGATGTTTGTTTCTCAAAAATAATAATGTTTGGTTACTATGTTTTTTTTCGAGATTTTTCTTGTGGCGTGATTAATTTTTTTTTTTTTTTTTGGCGTAATAATCGTAAAAAATTCATTAAATCAGGTAATCAATTTAAAAAAATTTTTTTAATTAATTAATTTGTGATAATATAATATGAACACATGTTCAAAAGCTACACAAATAATCATATTCTCGAAATATTCGAATATTCAATATCCATATCCACATTCGTTCATTGTTCAACATGCTTTTAAACTAGAAAATAAAAAGAACTTTCCTATTATTATTATTATTATCACATAACATACGCGTCCCCCTAGTATTACACATAAGTAAATTTTTATTTAAAAATTTTCAGGAGTATATGAAAGAATACATTTATACGAATGGTTAAAGAACGAAAAAGTCGCGGAATATTTGAACGTTTAATATTAAGCTTTAACCATCAAAACTCGGTGAACCAAATATAGTTAAATCATAAAACTTTATATTTATTACGCCACTAAGTTATAAAATTTATGAGAACGATAATTGTATATGTTGTTAAAAGAGAAAAGTTAATTAGCCAAAAATTCAGCACTATAAATCGGAGATAATTTTATTTGAATATTTATTTATGCAAAAAGAATATTTACTATGCAAATAGAATTTTTCTCAGTTCCTTCTTTACAAAAAATTTTCTTTGCTTATTAGAGTGATTATTAAACAATAAAATAATAGAATGTAAAAGGAATATTTATAAAACATAATATGGAATATTTATTATAAACCCCCCCCGTTTCTTTCCTTATTTTATTCTTACATTTATTAATAAAATTCACGCGCATTATAAAGCATATAATGTAAACAACACGCTGCTAAATGTACTAATGTACTAAATGTTTATACGAAGTAAGTCCAAAATTGGTCTAAATCCCTTTACGTTTCATTCAATAAATTATTATATTAATTTGAATGCACATAAGGGAGAAGAAATAAAGTTAAAAGATAATGCGTAAAACGTAAATAAAATAATTATTAATAAAAATTTATGATTTTAAAAATTCCAATTAATAAACCATTTCCTTTCTCCTTGTACCATAATATAATAATAGAAACAAATATAGTAAGTGGTTAATGATTTTAGAATGAATGTAATGAAATTTTATTTTCATTTACCAAAAAATTTAAATTCGTTAATAATTGATGACAGCTTGATGATGTAATGGGTGTAACAGTTTTTTCCTTACAAAATCAAATTTTTTTTTAAAAAAATACATTTGTGAAAATGAATCTTTATTAACGGGAAAGATTATAAAGAGAATATGTCTTAATGTTAAAAGATTGAATGTAAAAATGTTATGAATGATGTTTTATATAATATAATCGGAATGTAAAGAAAATCGTGTGTAAAGTAAGGGGTTAAAACATTCATGTACGATAACTGGAAAATTATTAAGGCGTTTTTTTTTTATGCTTTACAACAAGAAAGACATTAAGACATTTCGAATAAAAATGTACGAAGAAGAATAAAAAGAAAAAAAAAATAAGGGGTTTGTCACTATTTCACCAAATCATATGAACTATATACTCAACTTTTTTTTTTCTATTTAAGGTTTTAGTTGTATCATGTCATATTGAAATATTAATGAATGTTGTGACACCATTTATATATAATTTTCTTTATCTTTTTCTAAATAAATATTTTCTTGGTTATAATAAAACCTAATGCATTTGCTAAATTATTGTGATTTATGGTAATAACACGGGCAGCAAAAAAAAAAAAAAAGACGCGTCAAATTTTAAGAATTTTATTCTGACATAATATTATATTAAAATATTGCCACAATCTTTATATGATGCCTTTTCTAAAAATAGTTCATTTATATACACACAAACAAAAAGATCGCGTTTTTGAGTACTTGAAAACAACTTTGAATTTATTATTTGAATTGGTTAATAATTTTTTTTTTTATTATTGGATTTTAAATTTTTTTTTTGTTTGTTTGTTTTTTTTTTTTAGAAAATAAAATTGTACCAAAAAATATTTTTAAAGATATTTAATAAAAAGAATATTATTAATAAAATAAATATATTAAATTAGAATTGATAATGAAAAAAATGAAACGAAAAATGAAAACGAAAAAATGAAAACGAAAGAACATTTTAGTTTTGAACAGAACAGAACACACAATAAATATAATCAATTATAATCCATCCAAACTATAATTATTATAAACTATATATATTAAAAATCCATAGGTTATTTTTATATTAAATTTTTTTTTTTTTTTTGAAATTTTTTTTATATTAAAAAGCTTAATGAAAAAAAAAAGAAATTGTAAAGAAACTGAATTAAAAATAGCATAAGAAATTCAATTAGAAATTAAATTTCAGGTATATATAAAGAACATATGATTATTTCCGTATTGATTACGCTGTTGCGTTTTTTTTTTGTTTTTTTTTTTTTTGTTTTTTGTTTTTTAAAGAATAATTTTGATAAAATAGTGCATATAAATAATTACATTAAAAGAGTAGGGAGCTTAAAAGTTTTCCATTTTTTTTTGTTAATTATTTGTTAACTTATGGAATAAAAAAAATAAATAAAAGTAGGATCAAAAATTTAAAATTAAACAAATTGGACTCAAAACCAGTTAGAATACAATTTGTATTATTAGTTGTGTTGGGGTTATTAATATTAAAAGTATATATAATAAAGAATAATAATTATTATTAAGTAGCGAATTATTTTTTTATATGATTACAACGCGAAAGTTGTGTTAAAAGAAAAAAAAAAGAAAAATAAATTGGTAGTACATTTGAGTAGTGCGTGTGTCAAATGTACAATGAATTGAAATAAGTGAATATACAAACAATGCAGGAAAAAGATTTTTTTTTTAATTTAAATTGTCCGTTTTTTTTAATCACCCCGTTATTTAATTACTTGTAACATCCTAACATTCCCAGTATCAAATGTTTTAATGGCTTGCAACATCTGGTGCTAATGCTACTCGCAAAGTACTCCCCCGCCTTTGTTGGATTAAATCTGTAAAGGCATTCATTTTTTCATGATATTCGTTCCTTTTCGCTTCTAAGAGACGAATCCGTCCGTTTTCATGAACGTTAGAGAAGGAATAACGCCTTTGTATTGAGGATGATCTTGTTATGGAAGGTCGTTCGCTCCTTACATTGGTTATGGCTGGCGTATATGAATAATTATGATTATTAAAATTATTATTAAAATTATTATCTGATGAAAGATCCAAGGCATCGAAACCTCTTGGTGTCCATTCATTGGGGGAAACAGAGGATTTTTTATTATTATGGAAGATTTTATTTAGGAATTTACGGGATTTTTTTCCTTCCATTATTATTAATTATTACTAATATAATTATTATTAATATAATTATTAATTAAAATATTAATATAATTATTAAAGATAATTGCAAGATAAAAAAAAAAATTGTTCTAGTTAGAGTAATTGCGATTGAAAAGTTTTTTTTTTTCTCGGCAATCGGTTAAAGTAGAATGTTAATGGTGGTTGTGATTATTTTTTTGATTATATTTACTCGAGAATAATGAAGTGGAATGGGAATTTAATTAGGTGATGCTCAAACTTTTATAAATCGTTATAAAAACCGTTACAAAAAAAAACAAAATAAAGACTGAAAAAATAAGGCAAATATGAAGTTCTTTAATAACAAGATATATGATGAATAGCTAAAAAAAGCCGAAGTTTCGTGGATATATGATATATGATATAAGGATATAAGGATGAAAAACGTTTTGTCTCAATTTAAATATTCAAGTTATTAAATTGTTTTTTTGAATAAGAATATCAAAGAAGTTATTTGGTTTATTTATATCCGAAAAATATACGCCGATCATTTTTTTATATTCTTTATTTTAAAATCAAAATGTACAGTATAGATAATATAAATAAACGACGAATATACAGTTATTATTATATTATTTATATTACAATATATAATAATATAATACATTGTATATTATAATATATATAATATATACACTTTTTTTGAATAAATACATTGCATATTTAAAAAATTTTTCAATAATGCATAAAGGTTACGCATATACCCCTAAGATATTTTTTAGAGTAGAGTATTAACCAACCAAAAATTTCTATAAAAAAAAAAAAAAAAAAAAAAAAATTTTTTTTTTTTTAAAAAAAAAAAAAAAAAAAAAAAAAAAAAAAAAATACAACGTACAATCAATTAAATAATTAACTTACATATCGTGTACAAAAAAAACCAAGATGTTTTTGGAACATATATTAATACTATATTATAACATAAATGGGAAATGGGAAACCAATTAATAATTATATTATTACGTAAATATTAACATCAAGTTAAAATTTATGTCACCTGCAACAAGCTAATTCCCCGAATCTTCTTTGTAGTCTATCAGTACCTAAAGGTACAGGTATCATCTTATATTCTTGATATAACATTCGTGTTCGATAAAGTTTTAACATGTCTAATTCAAAGAAACACAATTTTTAGTCTCTATGTTTTATTCTAAGTGTTTAATTCTAAGTTTTTAATTCTAAATGTTTAATTCTAAGTGTTTAATTCTAAGTGTTTAATTCTAAGTGTTTAATTCTAAGTGTTTAATTCAATAATTTAAAATTAATTCATAACAATTATAAACAATTACCTGTCATAGGTACCACGAATTTTCCTGGTTTATCTAAGTTATAAAAGAAATTTAAATTTTGATTTAAGAATGATAACCTAATAATGTATATCATTGCCTTACATTACAAATAAGTACCTTCTAAATAGTCAACGTGCTCCGGCGTAAGGCATGACCAGTATCGTGATTGTACACGAATTACCTGATGAATAGTCTCGATACAATCATGACTGGGTATGATTGGTCCTAATCTAGCTGGGGGTTCGCCGAGCAAAACTTTCACACATGCAAGTGCAGATTTTGATATGGATTCCAAATTATAGCCACCCTTTGAAGTACAAATGAAATTTATAAAAGAAATATAAAATGACAAATATAAACAATTTATTTCATTTCACACTATATAAATTCTTATAAAATATAATTATATTACTTCTAAAGCAAGAACAAGTTTTCCTCCTGCTAAAGCTTTCAACATGTGAGTCATGTGTCCATACGCTACTGGTGACACGTGATTTTCTCCAATTGGATCACCTACAAATTAATCCAAAAAAAGAAAAAGAAAAAGAAAAATATAAAAAATATGTGAATAATTATAATTATTATAAAAATTTATATATAAATTATTATTATATATTTTTATATATTTTATGGTACCTTCCGCGGCGTCAAATCCGGCAGAAACGATCACAATATCGGGATCAAATTCGAAAGCAATTGGCATTACTACTTTGTTGAAAGCGTATATATAATCACTATCATACATCCCAGCACGAGGCCAAGGAATATTTATGGTTCTTCAAAAAATATAATTACTTAAATTAAAACACGTGAATCGTCGTTATTTATAAAATATAAAATACATATTCTTACCTTCCTTTGGCACCTTCCCCACCAACATGAGTATGACTAGCTTGTTTATCCCCAGGATAAAAATGTGCGTTCTCATATCGATGCATCGAACAATAAGTCACATTAGGATCGTCGTAAAATGCTTTCTGTGTACCATTACCTATTCAAAAAATATATATCAATCAAGTTAATTTAATAATTGATGACGATAATTTTTAAATAAAAATTACCGTGATGAATATCCCTAATATAAAAATTTATAAAATGCAACCAGTAAATCAAAAGTTCATTAAATTAACCAATTATAGTAAATGGTAAATTATGGATTTTGTCTTACCAGTCAAATATAAAAATTTTTTCTACATTATGATATTTTTTCAAACACTGAGCTGCAACAGATACATTATTAAAGAAACAAAATCCCATAGCTTCATCGAATTCAGCGTGATGTCCTGGTGGTCTCACATTTGCAAATCCGTTAGTCACGGTTCCATTAATAACAGCTTTACATAATTCAATTACGCCACCGCAAGAAAGTCGAGCACAAAATGCTGTCTCGCTATTTATATAAATAGAATTAAATTCTCCAGATAATTTTGCTAATTCAGCTTCACTCCTTTCTAATTATGAAATTATGGAATGCATATTGCAAGAAAATTAGATAATAATAGATAATAATAAAATAATAATTAGATAATAATAATTAGATTTGGTGACTTTTAAAAAATTAATTATCGCATAAAATTTATTAATTTGATATTCACGTGTAGTTTGATATAATAGACTGATATTTTTTTTACCAGTCTCTTACCTGCAGTCTTATTTACAAAGTTCCAATAGTCTATGGTATGTACGAGACAGGCTTCCTCACGAGTAACTTCGCGGGCTTTTATGGGTATTAATTTTTCAAGACATCCGGCTTTTGATATGGTTTTTTGGATCGAAGAAATCCTACTTGGATCTTCGGGGTGATGTTCGTCTTCGTGAATGTTACCATGATATCGCATTCGTTTATCATAAACAACGCCTGTCGTAGATTCGCTAAAATTCATAGGCATGGCTTGAGTATTATTTCTAAAATTATTACATGAGTTGAATCGACTTCCTCTGGTGACAGGTATATTTCCGGACTCTATAAGAACATAGGGTTTTCCGTCGGTTCCATCAATATCCATATTGTCCAACATGTTTGCAAAATCTTACAAAATATTATTATAGCCTCTGTATTTGTAAATTTTATTTAAAATTTTAAAATATAGCAGATAGAGCGGAAGCAATTAATGAAAATTTATAAATTGAAGATTTATTAAATTGAATAAAATGCAAGAAGGTTGATCTTCTATTCAATCCAATAATATACATTTAAAAAACACCTTAAACCTTGAAATTTATGGGATAGATAATTTTTTATTTAAACTCCCTTATAAATAAGTTTATCAATTTTTAATCATAAGAACTTTGAGTCTTTTGAATTCAAGTATTTAATATAATTTCAATTACAAATTTAATAAAAAACTGTATTACTATTTTTTGCTTAATAAAACATTAGTTAATGACCTTAAATATATATATATACTTTATCAAATTTTATTGACTAAAAATAGATAAAGACAAAGGCATTGTTTTTGAAACAAATATTTGTAATATTTTTTTGAGACACTTATGGTTACTGATATTTACTGGAAATTGGACTTCCAAATTATGAAAGTAAAAAGCCTTTTGACTTAATTCCTGAAATTTTAATTGTATCTATGTAATTACATCAAATAATTGTATCAATTGTGTCAATTACATCAATTTTTTATATAATTCAATTTCAATTTTTCAATAGTTTTAATAATAAGAATAGTTTCAATTAATACTAAGGCTAGCTCAATAATTATGTCAATTAAATCCAAGCTCAAAGACTAAAATCTATTCTATATATAGAAGTAAAAAAAATATCCAGTTATATGTATATTTAATCAAAAAATAAATCTGGTTGGTCAAAAAATTTTAGGTTTTAAGTAAAATAATTTTGTTTTCATCAGGAATTTTTATATAACGTTCTACAACATTTTACGAATGGAACATTTGTATAGTATTCTATATATCTAGAAATAATTAGTAACAATAGAAAAATATGATAGAAAACAATTTCCAAGAGTATTAAGAGTATTTTAATAATAACCAAGAGTATTTTGATGATAACTAAGAGTATTTTGATGATGATCAACAAGAATATTCTAATGATAGTTAACAAGAGTATTTTGATAATGACCAACAAGAGTATTCTGATAATGACCAAGAGTATTCTAACAATAACCAAGAGTATTTTGATAATAACTAACAAAAGTATTTTGACAATATCATGGGTATTGTTGTTAACATCTACTCAACAGTTCTTTTAAGGAGTTTATAATCCTTCCCCATAAATACAAGACTTCTAGTTTGATTATTTCTTGAATTTTAAAAAATACCAGTTAGTTTTTAGATATAACTAACAAACTAATATTCATTTACTTTAATCATAATACATCTATTTCAATATTATATCTCTCAACTTCCAAACTTCCTTAATATTATTTATTTATAATTTCATTATAACATCCTTATTAATTTATTTTCATAATTTCATTCTAATATCCTTAAATAAATATATCTTTATAACTTTCATTTATTATCTTTAGTATTAAATAAATATTTTATTATTCAACTTCCTTAATAATTATATAACTTCCATCTGATATCTTCACTTCCACTTTATTATATTTAATAAGTTATCATTTATTAACTTGAATAATAATATTTATTATTTTACTTTCACTATATAAATTTAATAGAAATTTATATACATATATTTATATAAATAATTATATTTCATCCTCTGAGAATTATAATTAATTAAAGTTATAAAAATATAAAATTAAATAATGTAAAACTACTGAAACTATTTATAAAGAATATATTTATACTATTTTAACTACTGTGCCACAAAATATTATTTGCTAATAACTATAAATAATATAATACTAATAATATTAATATAATAACTATTACTAAATAATATTAAATATAAATAATTAATAATAATAAATGTTAAGTAATATTAATTGATATTATGTGATTAAACTAATATGTTTAAATATTAATAATAAGTTAAATAATTATTTATCATGTATTAATACTACTAATATATTGAAATTTTTAATTAATAATTATAATGTTATATTTTATACTATAGCAATGACAACTAATATAAGTATTCTGATGATGACCAAGATAATCAAGGCGAGGATAATTTTAAAAATGTCTCAATTATGATGATGTTTACTTGGATTACAAAGTACATGATAAGGAGAAATATCTATAGAGATCTTATAAAATTCTTAAAAACAAAGATTTTAATTTTCAAGATATATTATTGAATAAGTAAAATAAATACTTCTCCTTATATAAAATTAAAAAAAAACACTGTAAATATAAATAAAAAAAAGGTTTATTCAATTTGTAATTTACAAAAATGTCATATTCTATTTTAATTCCTAACTATATTTATGTAATCATGAAGAATATACAAATATCATCCTTATTTTATTTTGATTTTGAGATTAAAAATAATTAGAAAAGTGAATTTTGAAATGAAAAAATTTATAAAAAGTTTCTCTCTTTAAAATAATCAATATAATGAAGATATGGAATATACAAATTAATAAAATTAAAAAAAAAAAAAATTCTTTCCTAAATTACTTATTACTATAAAATATACAGTAATATTTTATCAAAATTTTTTTATTTTTTATTTTATTTAAAACTCGTGTTTAAACATAAGTGGTAGCTCATTTACAAGATCTAGGAGAACATGTATAGATTATACTTGCACGCAAAATTATTTTGGAACCCCGAAATTGCAATTTTGAAGAAAAAAGTTGAAATAGTTTTTCATAGAAGACAAAATTATTTTACTTAAAATCTGAAATTTTTGACCACCCAGATTTATTCTTTGATTAAAGATACATATAACTGGATATTTTTTATACTTCCATATATAGAATAGATTTTGCATAAATCTCAAAAAGTCGAAATATCTCAAAAATCCAAAATCAATTTTGGGAACATGTATAATGTGAATTATAGTACCACTTCCAAAAGTGTAAATACAGAAGCTGGAAAATTTAATCTTCTTAATAACAAAGACAACTCGTTAAAAAAGAAAATAGCTAACAAATTGATGAAAAAACTATAGAAACAGGTATCATTGTAGCATCAGGAAGTAAACTAACCCTCCAAGTTGTTATCTTGAATAGAGAAATGTCAACATATGAATCAAAAGTATATGAACAACAAATAGACATGGAAGTAGAAATGAATACTAAAAGTTCCAAAATTCAAGATAACCAGGAAATGGTTAAAGACTCAAAAAAGAACAAAGAAAATAAATGGAAAGAAGTAAAAAAACATAAAGGCAAATATGCTGAGAAACCTGATATCGTTAAAAAACCAAGTGACAAAGAGGATAACAAGTTCATTGTATCTTATAACTCAGAAGATGACTATCAGTCTGCTTAGAGAAAAACACTTGACATACCCAAGTATAAAATTTGGACCCCTGCACATAAAATTTTTGATAAAAATATTATTGAAAAACTCGATAAAATTAGAAAAATCTTGAAAAAAGAAACCAAAGTTGTCCTGGTTAAAACAGAAAATTTTGAAAACAATAGGATAATCTCTGCATATTATGACAACAAAGAAGAAATGGAAAAAGGTAACAAAATCAATGTGGATGATGATGCAGAACAGCTATACCTGCCACCCAAATTCAAAATCCAAATGCCGAAATCTCAAATGCCGAAATCCCAAATCCCAAATCCCAAATTATGATTAGTATTTTTTGCCGAAATCCCAAATCCCAAATCCCAAATACTAGTAATTTGGGATTTTGGCGTCCCAAATCCCAAATGATTTGGGATTTGGGCAACACGTATAAGACATGCTACCCATCATAATATTTCTGTCGTTAAATGATACTTTACTTTTAAATTGTACCCTTTATATTTTAATAAACTTATCTTTTGTATTTAATATTATTTGATACTGTGTTAATACTTTTGCTCCACCTTGCTCACTGCGCCTTCAGATTAAAAAAAGAATTATAGTGATATTATATTATATTTTATTATCTGTTTTGAGATAGAAAAATTTTAGATCAACAGATTGCTTGACCTACTGGCAGATAGAGCATATTGTTTATTAAGTTTGTGTGAGACAAACTCTGAAACTAATTTGTGAAATCATTCATAATACTGTGTGACACAAATTGGTAATCAGGTGAAATGTCACAAGAGATGATAATTTATGGCACTAGATGAACATTCAGATGATTGTTATCCCAGGTGAGATAATCATATGAGGATAAAGAATGAAATACAAAAGATAAAGGATGAAAGATGAAGGATGATATACAAAGGATGAAGGATGAAGTACATGTAAGGATGAAGTGTAAACAAAAGAGAAAGTATAAATACAACTGTTGTTGGATGTAAGTTTCAGTAGTTAATAAGTTAGAAAAATAAGGATTAGTTAATTAATTAATACTTAATGTAATGAAATATACCAAAATATTTTAAATTATTATTAAATAGAAAAGTAAACTTATTTCAGGAATGGTAAAATAGACATCCTAACACATAATAATATTTCTGTCACTAAATTATACTTTACTTTTAAAAACTTTATATTTTATATTTTAATAAATTTATATCTTGTGCCATAATAATACAGAATATTATTAAATATTGTTTGATACTGTGTTAACTACTTTTATTCCATCTTACTCACTGTGCCTTCATGATTAATTAATTATTATTTGATTATTATTATTATTTATTATATATTTATTATCTGTTTTGAGATAAGCTATGACTTACTAATAGATAAAGTGTATTATTATATTTGTGTAATGCAAACTTTGAGACTGATTTGAGAAATTGTTCAAAATACTCTGCACAGTGATGACAGAATTTGGTGCTTCCTGTGAGGTGGTATAAAGTATCTTAATGCTATAACCTATAATATTAATACATCTGTTTTACAAATTTTATATTCTTTAATAAATTTAATAAATACATAATATACATTTCTATTATTGGAAAGATAATCAAAGAAATTTTTAACATTACGAAAAAATTTGAAAATATATAATTTATTACTATTATTATTTTCTTTACAAAAACTGATTCCTTATGTTTTATTTCAAAACTTGACAAAACTAATCATCAAAGTAGTTGTCAGTATAACAATATTTTTCTAAATCAAAAGATTTACAACGAAGATTATTAAGCGAAAATTTGAGTAACCAGACAAAATTTCCGAAGGACCGTCAAAATTACTTTTACAAAATCTTATGAAACAATACGTCAACGAAGAAAAAATATCAAATTAAGTATAAGTGCAAGGAAAGATGAGACGAATGCTCTAATACAGGATCTCTAAAATGTTTTTTATATAAGAAATGATACAAGAATGCTGTTCTTTTTTGGAGGAAACCAAGATCTTATAAAATGGTTAGAAGAATTTAATCAGTTTACAAGAATAAACTAATATACAGATGAATATAAACTCCAAGTTGTTAGCGGATATCTACAGGGTACAGCAAGATAATGGTTTAATGAAACACAAGAAAAACAGAATTCCATCAAGCATTGGAATGATAGAGATCAGATTTCTTTTGAAGTATTCTTCTTGGCTACTTTCCAAACAACTGCATTAATAAATCAATGGAGATTCGAACTATAAATAAAAGTACAGAAGCTAGGTGGAAGTGTAGAGCAATATTCAAATGATATTAAGAAATTAATTAAACGAATAGATAATAATAATAGATGAAGTGAAGACAAAAAAGTCTGGCAGTTTTTGAAAAGATTATGAAAAGATATTGCTTATCAAACTGACCATTTATTATGTTTCAAAAGAAGCTGACTTTGGAAAAAGTGATCCAAATGGCTAAGCAATTTGAAGAAAATACTTAAACATATTCCAAAGCTACAACAGAATATACTACTACTACTTCTATGTATACGTGTTGCCCAAATCCCAAATTACTAGTATTTGGGATTTGGGATTTGGGATTTGGGATTTTGGCAAAAAATACTAATCATAATTTGGGATTTGAGATTTGGGATTTCGGCATTTGGGATTTCGGCATTTGGATTTTGAATTTGGGTGGCAGGTATACTTCTATGAGTATGCAAGAATCTGTATCTTTTTGAAATAAAAGTAATAACAGCGAAAATGCAATAGAATAAATAGTACAGAAAACTTTTGTACCTATTGCCGAAACATTGCAGAAGATTATTGTGAAAGGAGAAAGAGCACCTAATACTTTTAATAACAGATCAAACTATAATAGCAATAATAGAGGACAAGGCTATAATAGTTATAATAACAAAAGAGGACAAAGCTTCAGAAGTTATAATAATTCACCCAATTGCTATCATTATGAACAGACTGGACATATGGCTTGGAGTTGTTCTCTGAGACAAGAAAATTAAAGAAATCAAATAAATCTGACTATTCCTGCTACTTCGCGAACTAGCAATATTGTACTTCCTGCAACTAATACAGCAACAAATCAAACTACGCAACAAGTTTCGCATGGAGCACAAATAGTAATACATTTATAACTCAAGAGGAAGAAATCCAGTGGCCTATTTCTACTGTTTGGAAAAGAATATAGCATTTAAACTAATAGGCATGCCTCAGGAGGGTGAAAGTACAGATAATACAAACTCCTCATTTAAAACTGGAGATAACAATAAAGTAATAGGAGAAAGTATTGGGTCAACAAGATACTTCATAACATATTACAAAGAAATTACAATCTGCAGAAAAGAAAAAAGAAGTATCCGAAGACACTAAACAAAAGAAAAGAAAGAAAGCACCCCCTGTTCAATAACCATTTATGACACAAAATGCTCTCCCATATTCTATCGTCTCAGATTTACTTGTGATGAGAGCCAACATTACTTTGGGACAATTAATAGCTATGCCACACTATAGAAGTGAAACCTGAAAAGCTTTGATATCAAAGTATACAAGAATTGTAAAAATGGCTAATTATACAACAGTAGAAGGGAATACACACATGACTTGTCAAGCTCAAGTAACCGGATGGAAAGTTGAAGTAATTTTTGATAGTGAATCTTCTATTAGTATTATTTTGAAAAATTTCATGGAATCTATAAGATGAAGAATTGAGAAAGTGTTTGGAAGAAAAATAACTGGTATACACGGAGAAAGACGATCTAATTTGGGAATTGTGACATTAGTATCCATAAAGTTAGAAGAAATTGTGGTAGCTGTCAACATGGAAGTTATTGATGTAACAAGTTACACATTAATTCTTGGAACAAATTGGTTAAGAAAAGCTCACGCTATAATAGACTACCAAGAGTATAAATTAATATTGAAGGATGACAAGTGAACCATACAAATTTCTTATAGAAATACTAGAGCTACTGTGTCAAATAATAATAAAATTGATGATAATAGTAAAGAAGAATATGTAAAAAGTAGTAATGATTTTGACATTAAAGATGATGAAGAAGTGAACTTTATAAGGTTGACATATGAACTTCCACATTAAGAATCTTATATGAAATATAAAATTACTTCTGAAGGAATGTGCAATAACTCAAAGCTTGTCACATGGGAAATGTATAACCAGTTCTCCTATTGTTTTGATCTGATTAAAAGAAAGAAAGGTGCTCAAGAAAGATGTAAGACAATGGGACCTAACTCCTATTGCTGATGTGATGAATATCTTGAGACTAGTTAGGATATATGTGAAGTTTGTAAAGAATATCAACAAGATTATAAGATTATTTCCATTATACCATGAAATAAAATACAAGATATCCATTGTAATTTGGTATAAGGAGATGTAAAGAAACTCGAATGAATCAATATAAGTCACAAGTTTATGATATTATTGAAGAGTTTTTGAACTTTGTAGCTAAAGGCCTTTTAGAATTTGGAAAAACAAATCTTTATCAGTATACAATAGATACTGGAGAAGTAAAATCAATCAAATTAAATCCCTATAGAACTTCACCCTGATACTTAGAATTTTTGAAAGAAGAAATAGCAAATATGTTAAAAAACTGATTAATTCGAAAGTCATTTAGTCCTTGGTCTGTGCCTATAGTCATGGTGAACAAGAAGAATGAGAAATACAGACTCTGTGTAGATTACAGAAAATTAAATTTGGTTATGAAACCTGATGCCTATCCAGTATTACAAATAGCAGATATGGGACTATACTTGCACGCAAAATTATTTTGGCATCCCGAAATTGTAATTTCAGGGAAAAAAGTTGAAATAGTTTTTCATAGAAGACAAAATTATTTTACTTAAAACCTGAAATTTTTTGACCACCCAGATT